CGGGTGGGGTGGGCTGGGGGGCAGTTTGATACATAAAATAAAATTGCTTGGCTTATGGCTCTTTGTTGGAAGGCTGAGATAAGATCCCCTACATACGCACACACACACACACAAAAGGCTAGCTCCAGAGATCCCGGAGCAGATAGGTAAATAAGCAAAATGTATGAAATCAGCAAATGGGGGTTTGCAGTGGTTTGTGTACTCCATAGGAAGTGTCTCATTTCAGTGGGATGGGGAAGGATCAGACCCCCCCCTCCTCCCACCAGCAGTGCCAGATGACCAGAGGTGAAGCCTTTCCCTTTGAAGGCTCTTGAAAAATGGGACAAAGAAGGATGGGCCATCCTGTCTGTGGCACCCACAAATTCCTAGATGAAAAGAGAATTCTGTATCTTAATTGTGTGTGATGTGAGTGGCGGGGGCATTGGTTGGCAGCTGCCGCCGCCTGGTGCTGCATTCTAAACATTCTGCGGGAAGAGCTTGTTCTCTCTTGACGAGAAGCCCTCGCGCTGTAGCAATAACACGGAAAAATCCCGTCCTCTTATACCTACTCAGTGAAACAGCCATTGGCGGGCAGATTTTGTTTCTTTTCCCCACATCAGAGTGAAAGAGGTAGAGTTGCATTTTAATTTTGTGTTCCTATTCTTTTCTCGTGGCTTTTGTGAACCAGAGCCTTCCCCCCCGTGGGGACGGGACGGGGACACACCAGGAAGATTCTGAGCCGAGTGAAAAAATACTTGGTGCAAATTGCTTCTTCTTCCAAAGATCAAGCATTTAACTGTGCACCCCACCCCCAATCGTATTCTTTTTAACTGGTTGTTCAGAGCTGTGGCAGCGAAAGGTAAAGAAAAGGGCAGATATAACCCAGAAGTCCAGTGGCACCTTACTTGGCCAACAACATTTGTTCCAGCATGAGTTTTCCTGGGTCAGAGCTCACTTCTTCAAATGCTGTGAAGAGGATGTCAGTCTCCATGATTTTATAAGGAAAATTACAGAAGGGGAGGGGCTGGAATAAATGTTGTTAGTCTTTAAAGTGTCACTAGACTACTGATTTTATTTTGTGACATTTGACTCACACAGCTAGCCCTCTGGAAATATAATCCACCCGTGCAAAATTTGCATCGATTTTGGCAGTGTAGGAGAGATCTGGTATCCTTGGCAGCGATCCTGTACGCAAGAAGCAAGCCATTGGGATTTAGTTCTGAATGAGCAGGCATTGGATCATGTTGTACTTTACTGAGTTTTAGGGGATTGAATCTGAGTATACCTATGATACAGCCAGTGACAGTGGACTGAGTTTCGGTAGGCAGTATCCTTTTTCTGCAACCATTTTTACAGTCTCTACAAAATTGATTTGGAAGTTGATTTAAATAAAGTATATGAAAGATTTGCATCCGTGACTAAAAAAAGAATCACCCACAACTGAATCTCCTGGTCAGCAATGAGTTCTCCCAATAAATTCTCGTGGAGATCGACATACAGTAAGAGATGCCAACTTCTTTTTCTGGCAGGGTTAGGGTATGCCAGTTAATAGCTCTACAATAGCAAATACTCAGGAAGTAAAAGAGTTCCCCCCCCATTGCTGTATGGGGGAGGGGTCAGGAAAAGCTGTCTGTAGCCGTAGCTGTTCTCAGCACAAGAGCTCTGCCAGATAAGAAGGTGGCATGTCTTACGACTGAAATTATTCACATGCCTAAGCCTAAAGATTTCTGTGTTCATGAGTGGAGAGACGAGTGATTGGGCTGGTCCCACAGAGTTTTCTTTTATGTTATTGTTTGTTCCACCCGACTCTCTCAAGCACATTTGTTACCTCATGACTGAGAGAGAATATATTTATTTTGACTCACTGTTTTAAGCCAAATGCTGTAATTGTTTAAAACACTGTTTAGGAGGCAAAAAAATAATGCTGGGATCAGACTCCGTCATACCGTAAAGTGAATGTGTGTTTGGGTTAATTATTTTTTTTACGGTGACGCAAACAGCTGCACATCAAGTTGCACAGGTGCTATTGTGAATGGAGATGACGTACTTACAGGTCCAGTCCAGCAATATAAGGTATCAAATATGCCAGTCCTGCTGTTAGACAACTTCAGTTGACCTAGAAATATGCAAACTTTAGAGTTATACAGAGCTCTTCATCAGGCAAAATGTAAAGAATGTTGATCAATTATACCCATACGTATAACCCCATTTACCTTTGCTTGACAAAAAAATTTCTGTGTTACTCTGAAAGATCTCACATACTTTCTGGGACCACATGACAACTGTATCGCTTAAAGTAAAGCATTTAAACGTACTCCTTGCCTGGCAGGGTATTAACGCACGCCTAACTTTTAGAATACTTTTTCAGTAACTTGAGTTGCGTAAAGGCAAGGTTGAATGTCAAATCCATGGCTGCGAATACCTTTGTAGAGCCAGTTTCTCCCAACGCGAATGAGCGACCTACAATCTTTGCTCACCCCAAAGCAATCCTGACCAGCATTAGACAAGGGGGAAGATCTGGAGTAGGGGTCCCCAACCTTTTTGAGCCTGAGGGCGCCTTTGGAATTCTGACAGGACAGTGGGCACAACTACAAAATGGCCACCACAGTAGGCGGAGCCAGTCACAAAATGGCCGCTGCAGGAGGCAATGCCAACCACAGAGAGTGAGGTTATGTATGACTCTAACAGTAAGTAACTGTCTAGCATTTCAGGCAGAACCTCTGTTTAACAGGATGCCTTTTAGTCTACACAGCCAGTCGGAAGCCCTGCTGTGCAAAAGCCCCACCTAGCCCCCATCCACTCTCTGCAAGCACTTTGTGGGCGCCAGGAAAGGTGTTGACGGGCACAGTGGCACCCTCGGAAACCACGTTGGGGACCCCTGGTCTGGAGAAACGGTGGCTAAAGTATTTGCATCAGAGCTTTATGCGTGACCCGCTCCCAGGTGTTTTGTCTTCTTCAAATGATGTTTGGAGATTTTTCTAGCAGATGTTACCAGACGCCTGTCACATTTCAGAGGTTTCTTTCCACAATTCGCCAATTAAAGTATTAAATTCAAGCAAAACAAGGGTTACGTTTTCATTTCGCTTCGTGCTTCTGGGCCTTCCCCTCTTTCCTTTTTCTCTCCCTCCCCATACAGGCACAAGGCTGCAGAGTGAAATTGTTTATGGAACAAAGAATATGGGGAAGGAATCCTAAAGATCTCACAAAGGGAGTTTGACTGCTGGCGGCTTCAACTTTTTAAGTCGCTGCTGGGAAAGTATATGGTCCTTTTAAAGAAGTGCTTTTGGACCCACTGCAGAATTCCTGCACAGGAGGGGTCTCTGGATGAAATAGCATTCAATTTGGATGGAGACCATAACGTGCTGTTTTGGCATCAGAAATTACAGGCTGAGAAAGCCTCATTGCTTCTCTGCTTGTTAGCTTGCAGTGGGATACAGGCATGTAGAGTCATTGGGAGTTGTATACTTCTGTTTATGGATGTTCCTCCCAGTGCCTTTCTTGTGTAGTTCCTTCATACTATTAGGTAGCAAGATCTTTTCAAGGAGGCCTCAGTTTTGTTCCCTGTCTCTACATTGCATGCAAACAGAGCCAATAGAGCCGTAACTTGTGCATATCCTTTTTTAAAAAAATTATAACAAAAAGCTTTGGAAGGAGATGTTGCCATCAAGTCTGAATTCTGTTGGCCTTCCTCTCCATCTTGGCAGCTGGAGGTAGCTTCTCTCAGTCACATGATTCAATACTCATTCCCAATGCTTGCGGGAGATCCAGAGAAGGTTTAGGTGTACTTCAGTGTAATCTGGTCAATCTCACCGGAAGGCAACTGCAGAAAGAAACAAGCCTCTTGTATTGAATCAGGGCTTCGTGGTATGTCAGTCAAGAGTACTCCAGTACAGAGGATCTGGCCACCTTAGCGTAATATTTTTATTTATTTGTTAAAAAATATAATCCTTTCTCGGCAAATTTGAGGGAGCAGAGGCTGCTGAACAGATAGCACAAGCATCCAACAAGTTAAACACGAACACGGAATTAAAACATAGGGGTTAAAAGGCAGCACAGAGAGTTAATACAGCTAAAAAAGTTTACCTCCTACCAGATGCCCTCTGGACACCTTCCTGACTGAAGCAAGTGAAGGTGCCCACTGCAGCCATTCTAAATAGGCCATTCCAGATCTTTGGACATCTACTACGGGAATCAGACATTTGTTGGATCTGCACAGAAAGGTAGATATTGGTGCTGGTGGGCTCTTCCTCTTGGTCTCTTGCCTCCCCTTCTAGAATGTTAGATGTTGCAGCACATGTTTGTATGCTGGAATACGTGCATCTTAGTTTTTGATACTGTTGTTGTGTAACTAATAATAATACTGTGATTGCCTCAGGATGCTCATTATTCCTGTCAATAAAACACCCTGTGATTTCACCGTATTCAAGGCCTCAGTACTACTTCCACATTTGCCCTAGGAGCTTGTTTTCTAATTCTGTTGGCCTTAATGATTGCAAATTAAGACTGTCATAGCAAAAAGCAAAACAAAACTCTAGA